GGTGTACGCCCGGCTTTAGTAGGAGGGAGACCCGCGATTATCGCTTTGTCGCACATGTCTCATTAAAAATGAATGGAGGAGAGGGGAAGTTGCCTCTCGTGTGACGAGCCCATTAGAAGAGCACGAGCCGTCAGCGCACGCAATGAGGAAGTGCACGTGCGCTCTAAACCAGGTCTGAACCAGAACTAGACCAATAAAGTGAAGCATGCTTTCGGCTGTTTATAATTTTCACAATGTCTGGTTTGCACTGATATGTTCCAAGTCCTCAGCCCGCACAGATGTTTTACCGGTACGTTTTACCGTGCCCGCGCCCTATAACCCGGTGCGCCTTTTGTATGTGTTAAATACCAAAAAGACACCCGTAACTGAAGCTGCGCCCTATAACACGGTGTGCCCTACGGTCGTGAAAATACGGTAATCACATTTGTAGTGACCCTTCATCCTAGCCTAGTGAACTAGACCAAATTCTTGCTTTGAAAAGTTTGGTCTAGGAACGATCCACTGGAACCTCTGCAGCCCCAACAGCATTCTGGCTGGCCAATCACAGCTCTCTAGAGTGGTTTCAAACACATAAAGAGCTGTGATTGGTCCATAATGGTGGGCCAATCACAGTGCTCTATCTGCTTAGTGAACAAATCACAGAGCTTTATCCGCTTTGTGGGCCAATCAGGGCACTCTATATTCCTGGTGGGTGGGATGATGCAACAGAGTGAAACAAGAGTATGTCACATTCATTGTCCAGTGGAATGCGGAGATCATTTGAAAGATGACTTTAGAACCCGCCCCACAACCGAGAGCTATCAATGGAGCGTTGCCAGACTAAAGTCTGGCTTGCCAGGCTACCTTCATCCATCACCCCTGCTACAAAAAAGGAATGGTACCAAATACTTCAAATCCAACATGTGTCCTTCATTTGTCACATGAGCTAATCCAGCTAAGCAGCAGTCACATAAAATCCCTTCAATTGATGAGTAAAGGGACAAACCCATCCACTTAGGTCTCCCCAGGAATGAACCAGATGGTTTTCATGTGATTATTTCTACTCACAGGGTTTCCCAGTGATCCTTGGTGTATTCTTAGTCTAGTTATGGCAAATAGGTAAGTGGTGAACAGACATGGGACTACGGATGGAAACCAGCTTTCTGCTCATTCTGGTATATTCTGGTATATTTGGGTCTTGTACGTTCATTAATATGCACTGTCAAATAAAAAAATTCTAATTCAAATTTAAATGAGCTCAAGTGAAAACTACTGCAAAAAGAGGATTTGGGCAAAACATCAAGAATGACAAGGTCACTGGACGGACCCTTGCAGAAAATCACGATAAATTATATAATGACCTTTCTGTATAGCACCTTTACTGAGTCAGAGGACTCCAAAGTGCTTTACACTTCAGTGCATCATCCATCCATTCACACACACACATTCATTATGCTGCTTCGCTGCCACCTAGGCTTGACTGAATAGTCTTAGGTGTGTTCTTGCTGTGTCGTATCTCTAATTCCATGCTGTAGTTCTTTTTTAAAACACAGAGCAGTTTTGTTTACCTGTTTTCCCGCTACGTTTTGTTTGCGACTGCAAACATCCTCAGGCTGACGCTGATGATGGTGTCACATGTGCACGTCAATCAGAATGATGATGGACAACACCACCTCTCTCAGTCGGATTGAAATTTCATTCCGATCGGGCCAAATTAGATCAGAACTTTCCAATTGACATGTTTACATGCAAAATTTTTGATCTGAGTGGGCGTTCAATACAATTAATTGTGCCCATGTAAACATGGCTAATGACTGACATGACTGCGAGAGACTGGGTTTGAACTCGATCCCCAGTGAGTCGTGGTGGATGGCTGCTTATACTGTGCCAGGATCCTTTGGAGGTTTCTTCCTGTTTAAAGGGAGTTTTCCTCTCCACTGTTGCTAAATGCTTCCTAAGTATGAGGATTGATGTCAGTGACTTGATGCAATTTGCAAAATAAGGGTTCATTACGGAAATGAATTATAAACTTACCGATTTAATACTTTTTTAATCCAGGTACTTTACACGAAAAAGCGCTGAAAACCTCCACCTAAACTTCGTGTGAGGTTCAGGTAGATAGGTGTTCCACAGTTAGCTCCGGTTGGGTTGTACCTAGGTGGCTACATCCGTTAGCTCGGCTCCCACCTCCGCGTTAGCTTTGAATTAGCCAGGGTTAGCTTCAGGTTAGCTTGTAGCTAGTTCGCCCGGGTGTCGTCAGTCGATCCCAGCCTTACAGCCCCACCCTCAGCTCCTCGTCTCTTCCCTTTTATGGAATTGTCTGGGCTGGACGGAACCTGTGACACGGTCAAAATGGCGGTGGTGGCCACCTCCCATTTCAGACAAAAAACTTGTTATTGGAGCCTATGGAAACCCATTGTCCAGTATATATGTTGATGCTAAAATGCAGCTGAGAAACACTCTCGTTAGTCTCCGATTCATGAAGCAGAGATTGCGTGCAGCTGTGCGTACTCCATGTTTGATAGATCACAAACCTACTTGGCGTAAGTACATTTTTTTTGCTGAGCTTAAGTACGGTTTTAGTAAGGATTCTATGCAATGTTTGATAAATGAGACCCATGACCTGTATTGGAATGTTTACTATGCGAAGTACCTTGAGACGACTCTTTTCGTGATTTGGCGCTATATAAATAACCTTGAATTAAATTGAACTAGGGCTGGACAATAATTCAATACCAATATATATCAATTGATAGACAATAGAAAATAATGTATCAATAAAATCTTCAATAAAAGTTTCATTTTTCCATAATAGCCTATCTGATAGCTTTATACTAGTCATTACTTATACCCAACAAATCAAAACAGACCCAAGCTCTCTCGTCTCAAACCTAAACAGACAGCAATGTGACTCAAGCAAGATGTTGTCTCGAACAAAGGTCACAGTACTTCACCAGTGTGGCAATATCTTCATTCTTACAAGTCTGACAAAAAACAAACAACGGTGGATTGCAAAATTTGCAGAGAATCGATAGAAACCAAGTCTGGTAATGCAAACCAACTTGTTTTATCATAAAGCAATGACTTAAAATGGTCAGGGCTGCACTTAAAATATATTTTCCTACATTTTTTATAGTTTTCAATAATTACTGATATTGATCAACTATGTTTTATCAGTAAGCTTTTTATCTCTATAGGTCTTACTCCAACACAAACATATTGCAAAGTTTGTGTTGGAGTAAGACCTTACCAACGGATGGCCATTAGGGTCAAAAATCCCTGGGAGTACAACCTCCAGTAAAATGACTCCCTTTCATCACTGGCAACGAGTGAAGAGGTAAACATGTAAAACAATATTTACGAATACTGAAAATTTTGCAACTGTTTGTAAATGCATTCTGTCCTCACAGGCTCCCGTAGAAAGATATGTGGCATTGCCCAGAGACATTAGACCCACTCCCATTTATTTTAAACCTTATTTTTATGGTTATATGTTACAAAAGCCGCCAATATTTTTCAACAAGTGGGCATAATTTTAATCATTTTGAACAACATTTAATGGATATTTCCAGAGATTAATGGTAAAAACTACACATTGTCTATTTAAAATGAAAAAGTTATACAATGTTTTTATTTTGTTCCCAGCAGCAAACTTGTTTTGTTTAAAAGCAGAAAGAATAGCAAAAAAAATATGATCTAAACTTTAAAAAGTGTGACTTTAAAGAACTTCTACAGCATATCCTCCTCAAGAATCAAAAACACCAACAGGGAAATGTCCAGAGCAGAAATCAACCAGTAGACGTACCTGACAACAACTTTTTGACCTTTGACTAGGAGTGGCTGCAGCCCAGCCCAGATCACATCATAACTACCTAGTTTTACATGTGTAGCTATTCATAGAAATTATCTTTTGAATGACTGCGCGAGGCTCTGGAAAGCATCTTAAACAACTAAATTCAGGTGTTTAGAATAGGTCCATCAGTTTCTACGATGCATGTCAGAAGCTTTCTTTAATTTATGTGGGTAATAAGTGTTTCTGTTAACTTCCTGGTTGTAACTCAGACTTTGTTTCACTTACGTAAATCAGTGATTCTACAAAAACTGATTTTAATAAGTAATACTCTTCTAAACTGAAAGCAGTTTAGCAAAACTATTTTGATACTGTACATGTATGTTTTGTCTTTAATCAATGCATTTGTATTTATTTTTATTTGTTTAGATTAGGTTTTGGGGGGTACTTTTGTGAAATTTGTTGGTTTTGAGTTGTATTTTCATCATTGGGACTTGTTTTTTTAAGTGAAGCCCAACAGGCTAAAACGTTAACAGGTGACTGAACAGAACATCTTGATAGGGAGGGACCTGGCTCTTTTGGCCCCCAGCTGGAGCCCAATTAGTTATCCTTTCATGCAAACAGTCCAGAAAGATGTTAGAACATTGGTCCAAGTAATCCGAGTTCAGAACCCCAAGTAATCCGAGTTCAGAACCGTGGACAGAGCCCACTCAAAGATGAGTCTCCGCACAGATGGAGGTCAGTAGCTCTGACCTGTTCAACCACCAGCTGCTCTTCAACAATTTATCAGATAAATAACACACTTCTCTCCTGAGATTAGCTTTTGTTGTTGATGTTTTAAACCCCTACTCCCCCTCTACCCAGCAGCAGCCTGCTGACTCTCCAAAAATCACTGTTATCTGCACAGAAACTCGCGCAAAATAATGCAGAATGTCTGAAAGTCCAACTAAAAATCTGAGAATCCTGGATGATTTTAAAATGAAGATAGGATTAAAGCAGAATTTATAGTCTGGCTGAAGTTACGGCCATGTAATTTTGGGTTCAAATTGGCTAATAATAAAACAGTTAGCAGATTTGTTTTAAATTACCGCTTTAATTGAAGTAGAATAAAAAGAGTTATTATTCGGTCACGACAACAGATAATTAGGCAAAACATTTTAAAATTGAGCCTCTTTAGACATAGGGTTAGCTGGTTATAGCTCACATGCATATTAAAAACAGAATAACTCACCCGGAGGAACTCAGCTTATTGTAATGTGTTAGCTTATAATTCATGACTCTCAACTGCAGGCTGCCTCCGCTGTGGTAAACGTTTTACTGAAAGCAGTCGCCAGATGGGGGATGGTTCCCAGGGGAAGTAACAACTTCCGGCACGCTCCTTCAAAATAAAAGAACCGGTTGCTGAAGGGGACATTCAGAAGAGCATTAGGTTTGGGGGAAATTATACAATTAGCCTGTTCCCAAGAGGCCAAATCAATGATTAGGATCCGTTTCTGACTTTATTGGAAAAAAAAAAAGATAACGCTAAAATGGATCTCCTGTCTTCGTGGAGGTTTACGAAGACAGCGTATTTCTAGCTTGTAGCCAATAAAACCTTTGACTTTGTGACCTTGTAGCCTGTGGCGCAAAAAGTGGGTATGCAGTGTATGCATGCATGGGGCACCAGGCTGGAGAGGGCGCCAAAGCAATGATGCAAAAATAATTTTAGTCTGCATTTCCTGTGTTTAGTAACAGTTGTGGTTTTTTCTGTTGTGTATTTGCAAATTACATTGTGAAGGAGTCAGGGACGACACAAGGTAGGTTTCATTCACATCATTACTCCTTGCAACACTGAGCTCTTCTGCTCTGTGTTGGTCGCTAAGCCTATACCAGTTGTGCAGCACACCAGGCTAAAGACCCAAGGTGACAGATCATTTGCTGCTGTGACCCCCTGAACCTGAGATCAGTGGACTCAGTGGTCTCTTTTAATGTTACCTAATGCTGATCTGCTTGTCTTTTTTTTTCCTCATCAGACACTGTCTTGAGCTCCTTTAATACCACCATAACAAAAGGAGAAGACTGCATGGCCAAATACTTAAAATATGCACCAGAGATGATGGGTGGTGGTGGCAGAGCAAGAACGAAGTAGAATGACTGCTTCAACCAGCAGTGTTCAGTTATGCCATTTTTTAAAAGTGTGAAATGTTTGCAGACTTGCAGAATAACAACATGTTGTCGCTGAAGTCTTCTTTTTCCTGCTTGCTTGGGTTCATCTTAGCGGGTTGTGTGTCCCTGCAAACTAAGGGTTTATCAATATTTTTGTAAAAACTGACAAAAACCATTTGAAAAGCAGGACTTTATAAAAATGTTGAAATGTCATCATTGATTGGATTTGCACAATCTAAACTAAAATCAGTGTTGATTAAATGTTGGCAAATTCAACAATGTTGAGAAGCGTGACGTTGGAATGACATTGCTATTTCAACATTGATTAGATTTACAAATTGTAAACAAAATTCAATGGTTATCCAACACTGGCACCTGACGTTGATTCAACATTGACTCAACGTTAAAATGACAGCTGGGTGTATATATATATATATATATATATATATATATATATATATATATATATATATACATATACATATATATATATATATAGATAGATAGATAGATAGATAGATAGATAGATAGATAGATAGATAGATAGATAGATAGATAGATAGATAGATAGATAGATAGATAGATAGATAGATAGATATAGATATATATTACATTTTCATAATTTTTAGTACACTCAATTTAGTACATCTGCAATCAGCAGCAGCTGTCCCGCCTAGGAAAGATTTACTGAAAGATTTTTTGAACCGTCTACAGGTGGTTCAGAATACCTGTGCTCGGCTTCTGACCAAGTCCTCCAAACACACCCACATCACCCCGCTTCTCCTCCAGCTTCACTGGCTGCCAGTCAACTTCAGGTTTCATTTCAAGATCCTGGTTCTGGTCTATAGGGCCTTACATGGACAAGCACCATCTTACATTGGTGATCTTCTTAGTCCCTACACCCCCAGCAGGTCCCTGAGGTCCAGTGATCAAAGCCTACTGGTTGTGCAGGCGCACCAGGCTAAAGACCAAAGGTGACCGATCATCTGCTGCTGTGGCCCCCAGACTCTGGACCTCTCTCCTCCTGGGCCTGAGATCAGTGGACTCAGTGGACTCCTTTAAAAAGCAGCTGAAGACTCATTTGTTCAAGCTGGCTTTTGTATGACCTTCTTCAACCACTCTCTCTTTATTCTGCTCTCCCCACCTATTCCACCTTCCTCAGGATCCACTGATTTCCCTCTTTCCTATTCACTCTCTCTTTCTTAACATTTTAGTAATCACAATTGTCTATTTTTTGCTCATTTTAAATATTTTTGTAACCATATTCTAAATTCTTTTTTATATTTTTACATTTTTTGTTTTAGTGAAGCGCCTTGAGATTTTTATCTTGAGAGACACTATAGAAATGATATTTTCTTCTTCTTCTTCTACACTCTGGCTACAAATTTCTCAGAATATTATCAAAAAGACAATTTAATATATGAAAAATAATCTTTATGGCAAGATTTTACATGTCTAATTTTAAATATAAGCATTTTTATAAATGCCATACTCATACATGTTTAGTTTTTTCAAGTTCGATTCAAAACCAAGAAAAACATGGATTTTTATGTTACTACAGTGTGTTCTATGAAATATTTCAATCAAAATACAGAATATTCCACTGTCTGTTATGTATAAGATGTTAGACTCTCGTTTTAGGGTTTTGAAAATGTATGAATGCTGAATTAAAACATCTGAATGTAAGAAAGTGCTTTGATGCTGTAAACTGCGGCACAGACAGCGGTTGGTTGAATTCCGAAGACTCGCAATATGGAACGGTGGTTTGCTTAGGGACTATCAACAAATTTGTAGTCCTTCGTAAACGAGTACAAAAAAATTAAAAGCTTCCAGAATAATTTGCTAAATGACTCAAAATTACTTCTGACTTTGTTACTAAACTACATTTACAAGACACGACAGTTTTAACACATTTCACACAATCTGATCTTTTTTTTTATTAGGATTTTATTCCAAAATTAAGGGATTTTTTCAATGGCTCCTAGGTACATCAGTCTAAATGGTAAAACCATTTCTCAATGTTGTTACTAAGCCACACTAATGAGACACAGCAGTTTTTAACACCTTTCATACAATCTGATCTTTTTTATTAAGATTTTCATGAAAATATCTGTGATTTCTTTCAATATCTCTTAGATTAATTGATTTTACTACTCAAAACCATTTCTCACTTGTGTTACTAAGCTAGACCAATGAGACACAGCAATTTTTAACAACTTTCATACAATCTCGTCTATTTTTATTTTATTTTATCCCAAATTAAGGGATTTTTTTTTCAATAGCTCCTAGGTAAATCAGTCTAAATATACAAAACCATTTCTCTATTGTGTTACTACGCCAGACCAATGAGACACAGCAGTTTTTAACACCTTTAATACGATCTGATCTTTTTATTAGGAGTTTTATCAAAAATTAAGGGATTTTTTTTCAATAGCTCTAGGTAAATTAGTCATAATACCCAAAACCATTTCTCAATGATATTACTAAGCCAGACCAATGAGACACAGCAGTTTTTAATCACATTTCACAAGATCTGATCTTTTAAATTATTTTCATGAAAAATGCTGTGATTTCTTTCAATTCCTCTTAGGTTAATTGATTTTAATACTCAAAACTATTTTTCAATTATGCTACTACACCAGACCAATGAGACACAGCAGCTTTTATAACATTTCACAAGATCCAATCCAAGTAATTTTTGTCAATAGCTCCTAGGTAAATCAGTCAAAAAACTCGAAACCATTTCTCAATGGTGTTACTAAGCCAGACCAATGAAACACAGCACTTGTTTTCACATTTCACAAGCTCTGATCCTTCTTATTAGAATTTTTATTTAAAAAATAAGCGATTTATTTCAATAGCTTTTAAGCTAATTGCTATAAATACTCAAAACCATTTCTCAATGCTCAGCAACACAGCTTAGGCCATTGCAATTAATCTTTGTCCTCAATCAAACCTCTCCTCCCACAAATTCTTAGGTGGTATGCTTTTCTTCCTCCTGTCTTGGAGTGGGGATCTCGTCGATGGTAACCTTTCTCAATCAGAACGTCCCTCGTCACCACCTGGCTTGATATCAAGTTGTAGTCAATCGCTTTGGCACGTAGTCCATTTAATTTCAATTGGCCTCATTTTTCATGCGAACATTTTCATCAGTAAGTGACAAGACCAAATTCTCTCTAATCTAGCCATGTGCCATGATGGGGTTTATGTTTTAGTATTTCACAAAGACAAACATCACAGCCACCAAGGCTCTGGTCAGCACATTGGGCGAGGTGAGTTTGGGGTCCTTGCAGTTCTTGAGCAGCATCCGGCCTCTGGTAGTCTTTTTAGTATTCAAGGGCAAGGTCCATGGTATTTGTTTGTCTTTTCTTTCTAGCTGAAACGGCGATCGTGTATTTCCTTTATGTCCTCCAGAAGCGAGGGCCCAACTTATCTTTTGACTCAACTGTTTGGGAGAGAGAGACAACAATTTGCCTGAAGATGGATGCTTAAGATGTCCCTGCCCAGCGTGCATAACTTCACCCAAGACGAAGACATTTACAGCTTTCATATTACATAAGGTGAAGGGGGATCAGCCTTAGCTTTTCATCCTTTGACAAAATTCCTTAAAAAAAAGGTTGGGTATTGTGAAATGCTATGAAAACTGCTGTGTATCAGTGGTCTCCATTAGTGACATAATTGAGAAATCATTTTTACAGTGTTCTGCCCTCTGGTGGAGGATCTGTGTACTACAGGTCACCTGCTAGTATTAGGCATTCCTTTGCTTCAGCTTTTATGGTCTGTTACTCAGGGAACAAAAGCAAATTCTAAATGTGAAGAACAGTGAACCCGATGCTCTTCACACAAACGTCCACCAAACATTTGGCTCTAATATAGACCTTTTTCACAAAAACCGGAAGTGCGTCATTGACGGTGACTCTGTTCCTATCTAGTTCAGATTTCAGTCAGCAAGGATCGGATCGTGTCTACAATACAAACCTTTTACATTTGCCCAATATAAATTACAGCGATATTACGTTATAACATGATAATTATTTTGTTCTAACAATAATAATAATTTTCTTGTACATACAATAAAAAAACAATTTGAAACAAAATAATATGTTCTAACATCATAAACATGTATAATATTGAATATATAATAAAATGCATAATAATTCTATTGCACGGCCCTCAATAGCATTTTTAGAATTGTGTAATGAGGTCACTCTGGAGGCTGCTGATTTAAATTCATGTTCAAATTTTTACTATATATATATATATATATATATATATATATATATATATATATATATATATATATATATACTGCCTTTTTTGGGCAGAACAAATGAAATATATAAAATGTTTGTATTCTTTAAAAAAAAAATTGGAGTTTTAGCTTCCTGATTTTGGCCCTAGTCTTGAAAAGGGACGTCCCTGAAATGTCTCTCAGACCTCCACTGCCCCCAGTGGTCAGAATAGTGCACTTGCAACTTCTAAGTGCCAGTCCACCACGTGTGGATTTACATTCAGTTTATAAACCTGGCACTGCAGTCTGCTTCTAGCATGTTTCCTGCATGTCACAAAAACAGATTATTTGTGTGATTAATTTGTCCTGCAGACACTAATGAAGGCTGGGGAGACATTTCAGCAGTTAGATTAAGGTGTTCACAGCGAGGAGGAGATGAGTTTTATTTTTGGTTTGACCAAAGATAATTAATAACAGACACTAGGGGGTGCTAAAAACAAGCTAAGGTGCCTTCAAGAGCAACTGCAGTCAATAATCCTGTGCTGCGCACCTCAAAGCACAATACTTAGTTTGGCGCATACAAATTGAACCAGATATGCTGTTTAAAACCATTTACTCCCATAAATGAGAACAATGGTTGTGTTCTACAACCCCCAAAGGTGCTTCACAACACAGTCAGCCCTTCACACGCTGGTGGGGATGAGCTACAGTGTAGCCACTGCTGGGGCACACCGACAGAGGCGAGGCCTGCTGAACACAGGCACCACGGTCTCTCCAACCACCACCAGCAGAAGGTGGGTTAAGTGTCTTGCCCAACGACACAACAGCAGCATTCTCTGGTCGGAGCTGGGATCAAACCTGCAGCCTTTCGAGTACTGGACAACCCGGACTACCTCCTGAACTACTGCTGCCCCCATTATAACACAATTTAAAGCAGTAGCTATTATTTCAGCACTATATTAAATCAACATTGTGTGTGTGTGTGTGTGTGCGTGTGCGTGTGCGTGTGTGTGTGTGTGTGTGTGTGTGTGTGTGTGTGTGTGTGTGTGTGTGTGTGTGTGTGTGTGTGTGTGTGTGTGTGTGTGAAGAAGTGACAGAGAGAGTGAAAATAATTCCAGCACCTTCTAGCAAGTTAAATTCACAGGTGTTGATTGGCTAAATATTTGCCGGTTCTCCCTAGCAACCAAATGTGACAGCAGGAGCTCCACCCCAGGAATTACGTATGTCAAATATTCAGATGACACACTCACATGGAGAACTGCTTGGACCTGCACGTCTCCAAGACCAAAGAAATGGTCATCCTCTTCCCCCTCACTCATTGTAAACAGTCAAACTATTGAAAACGTTCACTCACACAAATATGACGACTTCATAATTGGTCATAAACAACCTCTGTTTGCTCCGTAAGCTCCGTAAACTTCAGGTTCACCGCTTTTATAGATGTTTCACTTAATCCATTCTCACACGTGTTCATTGTCTATTCTACCTTGTTTTTTACAACTTTTCTTGCACCTTATGGAGATTTTTTTACATGTTGTGTCATTTTATGGAGCTGCTGCCCCCCAGTTTCATTGTCACTACAATGACAACAAAGGCTTTCAATTCAATTCAACATAACTGCCTGGTTTGGTTCAATCCATCTTGCTCAACGAAACACGCTCAGTAAAATGACCCAGATAAGCAGCAAATTCATAGTTCAGGAGCAGCAGCCGCTCATCATCATCGATAACACCAGAGCCCTTAGGAAAGGCTCCCAGATTTCCACAGATTCCTCACATGCTCCTCACTCTTGCAATACCATCTTACCATCAGGTTGTCGGTTTCAGGGCCCTTTCACTGAAAACTAAGAGGGGCTCCCCTCCTCGGTTCACCACAGTGACTTTGGATTGGACTAAACTGAAAGTATTTTATTTTTCCTTTAAATTGATTGAATGTGTGTGTTTTGATTGTGCTTTTTTGGCATGTGCTTGCACTTTCATCTGGAAATGAAGTTCCTAAAAGACAAATGAAGTGACTGACTGACTGTTTAGCTGCAGTTCAGGGGTGCTTTTTTCCCGGGCCCCAGGAGTGAAACAAGTAAAGGTTCATTGATGTAGCATTTATCACAGAAATCAAAATCACAAAGTGCTTCACAAGGATGAAGAAAACACAAAGGATTTGCAAAAAAAGCAGATTAAAATAAGAGAGCAGAGCCAAATAAAATAAAATAAATAAAACTAGTGAGCAGCACATCTACCACATTTATAAAAGTGTTGTTTCAGGTTTTTTTTTGCCACTGGAGAGCATTAATTATCCTACTCGCAAACCCCATTAAAAACTTGTGCTGTGCTTGTTTTTCTACAATTTTTCTACAAGCTGCAGCAAGCTGGATTTAGCATGTTGACCATGGTGTTCAGTTCTTACATTAACAAGGTTTTAAATTATTTTTAAATCTGCAAATGCAATAACATTGGATACCACTAGATATTCAAGTGTAATCTGGGACGTAATTTTGGGGGGGGACGGGTGGGACAAGTCCCCCCCACTTTTTCAAAAGGCAGTTTTGGTTCCCTGCACTTTTTTCCGTCCAAAAACAATATTACGCTCCATTAAATGGATTTGGTTGAGCACTAGGACCGAAACGGAAACCGGTTTCCTATTAGACCCGCCCAAAAGCTAATCTATTGGCTCTGCTGATACTTGCTAACGTATTATTGGCTGTTGCTGCTGTCTTTCAAGTTGTAAACAGAACGTGCTCACGTTGTTTTGCTAGTTTGGAGCCGCTAGGGAACACCGGTACTGAGTCACATCGTCAACTAGACGCTGTGTAATATCAGAGCTCAGCTCAGCTTCCATTACATAACATTTGAATAAGTGTTCATTTGTGAGTCTTTGGTAGTTAGGCACAGCCAGGAGGCAGCATGTCAAGAAAACGAAAAGTGGATATAAGAGACTTCTTTCAAAGTCAAAACTTAAGTTGTAACATGTGACAGACCTGCATTAAGCTCAGACTCACCTCCTCCTTCACAAACATACTCAAAACTAATTTTTACAAACTCATCTCCTCCACATAACTGACTCCTCAGACACAATTTATTCGTATTATTATAATTATTTTTTATTATTATTACTATTATCATCATAATTATTATTACTAGTAGTAGTAGTAGTAGAAGTGTAACTTCAAAACTTTTATCATTTAACTTTATTGTAAACTTATCTATTGCAATGTATATGTTCACATTAAAAAGCTCTGAAAAATGAACAGTATCATCATTGTCAACAGATTTTTTTAAGCTTAATGTCAAAGATGTACACTTTTCATTAGATTTATCTTATTTTTTCCATTTATTTTTTGTGTGTTGAAATGCAACAACTGTTTAAACACTTTTAAGGGAAAAAAAATTTAATATGTTTTTATACACTCAAATGTTAGGGTGATGATCATGTGTAAAACATTAGTTCAGCATGTCCTCTAACACAGCAAATGAACAAACGGCCAGATCTCAGGAGGGACCGTTTATGTATAAATAATTTTTATACTTTTGACTAGGCCTGGGAATGTAACAAATTTTGCTGGACGATATTTTGTCCAACAAATTGTTGATGATAAACGATATCATTGTCAACATTATCTAGACCAAAATAACCACTAATATAATGTTAATATATCATAATAATGCAAGTACACCCTTTAAAATGCAACAAATAAACCTTCATTTAACATTGAAATGTCCAGAACCAGAACTACTAAATGAATAAAAATAACAAACAAAAATTAAATAAAAAAGGAATCTCACTCCCTGTTAGAAAATGTTGCACCAAAAACAAAAAAAAGACCCAAAACAATAAATACAATGGCCTATCCATTGTCAACAGCCAAAACTGCACTTCAATAATGATAATAAATAAAAATAATAATAGAGTTGTACATTTTTTAACTTTGATATATATATATATATATATATATATATATATATATATTGAGGATGGAAAAATTATTGAGATGAGCACGTGACGTAAAAAAGGGGTCTTTACATAACACCCCCCACCCCAAATCCGCACAAGCCTGCTGTGTCCCCCCCACTTCTGAAATCAAAATTTCGTCCCTGAGTGTAATAAATTAATCTGAACTGCGAAGGGTATAACATATTTTAGAAAATTACTACAGCAGCGTAGCATTGCATATTTGTAATTTCACTGGTTACGTTTATTTTTATTTATTTATTTTATTTATTAAGTTTTTATTATGGTGATGTTTCGCCTTAGCGGAGAAGGGTCTCATCCATACACCATTGGGCCTTCGTGGTGTTTCAGCAGGTTCCACCACACCGACAGGGGGCGATATACAGTACTGCGCCAACCGTGCTTAACCTTCTAACCCACCAACTGACGTTCTTTCCGGCTCCGGTCCCTACGCAAGTGTAAAGGTAAAGAGATACTCGGTGTAAAAATCCAAATATATCTTTACCATCTCATGTCTTTTAATTAAACAACATTGAACATCCGGTTGTTGATAAGGTCTTAAACGTAAAAGTGCACGTATTTATTAGTTGAATGTCTAATCATCGTTAATATGTGGTGAAACTGGGGAAGCGAACCCGGCTTTGGCGCTGTACGGTTGCCATTTTTTCCTCGTCAACCGCGGCCCAGTTTAATTAACTTGAGCGTTTGTTACTTTTCCTGGTTGTTGCTGCCATTGTGCCGTAGAATTAAGGTTGGGTGTTTATTAAGCACGCGCTGCTGTCACGTTTGTGAAATTGATCTACATCCTGTCGCTTTACGCAGATGCTGATGCCCAAGAAGAATCGCATTGCTATCTATGAGCTCCTCTTTAAGGAGGGAGTCATGGTGGCTAAAAAGGATGTCCACCTGGCCAAGCATCCAGAACTTGCTGACAAGAATGTGCCCAACCTTCATGTGATGAAAGCAATGCAGGTGAGAAACCCGGGCTTTTTGTGTGGCATGTAGTGTTTTTCTGGAGCTATCACAGGTAGTATTACGAACAAACTACACTGCATCGATGACATCCTGACATTCATTTAAATGCAGCAAATATCACGTGACTTTAACTGTCCTCATGTGCATTGTTTGAAAACCTGTTGAGAAGCGATTATATGACGTGGTTTATGTGGTTTTATGTGAACTATAAACTTTTGCCATAGATGATTAAAAGCTGTCTTTGTATAGTTTGTTTATTGGCCAGCAATGTTTTCTCAATTTAGTGCTGCCTTTAGTCATGGCACTAATATGTTTCCTTGATGATCTGATCTAATACGGATAAATGTAACAAGTTCACACTTGCCCGTCTAAAATGATCCAAGTGTTTGGATTTGTTAATGTCTTTGCATCCTAACAAACGTATCCAACCTCAAGGTCATCTGAGCAACTGACAGGATGTCAGCAGTCACTAACTCTTCAGACCTGGTCATATTTTCAAATTCACCTCACTATTACCAAGGGTTTTATAAGCTTGCCAAGTGTAATAAAAGTAATTAACGAGGCCTTTTGTAGATCTTTTCAGGGTCTCTGTATGTTTTAAATTTCTCTGCAGTGATTTCTAGACCTCCATTTACTGTTTATTGATCATGCGAGACCATCAGGTTGTTTAATAAATTTGTCTTCGGAATAGGGAGTCTTAAGTCTCCTCCCTTTCCGGTCGGCTCATAGTTCCTCGGAAGAATGAAAAAATGAATGCGAGTCAACGGGTCTGAAAGAGCTATGTTCTAATCCACTTTGCCTTACGCCCTGGATCACATATTTTGTACTTCAATTTAAATGAAAAGTAATGAGGTGTGTTTCGACCATGCCAGTCATGTACTTTAAGATTTATCATTTGGTAAATGATCATAATTCGCATGACTACAAACCAGACATCGGTATGTCGCATATGTCACCTCACCACTTAGTCTCCTCTCTGCTAGCGCAGCTGCTACTTACTGCATGGCCAGATTTGTGGTGGTTCTTTCCTCCTGAAGGGAGGATTTGAAGGTAGCTGAACTTAGTCATTTTCCCCGTTTTTCTTCGTGTCTGGTTCGGTGATGTCACTTTCGTAAAGTACATTTGTACAGTTGTGGCCAAAAGTGTTGAGAATGACACAAATATGGGAAATTGGAAAAGTTGCTGCTTAAGCTTTTATAGTAGCAGTTTGCATATACTACAGAATGATACGAAGAGTGATAAGATGAATTGCATAGTCCTTCTTTGCCATGGAAATTAACTTAATCCCAAAAAACCTTTCCACTGCATTTTATTGCTGTCAATGAAGAACCTGCTGAGATCAATTCAGTAGTCGTCTTGTTAACTCAGGTGAGAATGTTGACAAGCACAAGGCTAGAAATCCTTATGTCAGGCTGACTGGGTTAGAATGGCAGACTTGACATGTTAAAATGAGGGTGATGCTTGTTCTTCCATTGGTGACCTGCAAAGAAACACGTGCAGCCATAATTGCGTTACATAAAAATGGCTTCACAGGCAAAGATAATGTGGCTACTAAGATTGCACCTAAATTTATAGGATCATCAAGAACTTCACAGAAAGAGGTTCAGTTCTTGTTAAGAGGGCTTCAAGGCGTCCAAGAAAGTCCAGCAAGGATCGTCTCCTGTCGAGGATTCAGCTGTGGGATCAGAGTGCCACCAGTGCAGAGCTTGCTCAGGAATGGCAGCAGGCAGATGTGGGCACATCTGCACACACAGTGAGACGAAGACTTTTGGAAGGTGGCCTGGTGTCAAGAAGGGCAGCAAAGAAGCCACTTCTCCTCCAAAATAAAAACATCAGGGAGAGACTGGTCTTCTGCAAAAAGTATGACAAACAAAAAACCCACTAATTCTGAATAACTCCAAGAAGTGGTTATCTGCTATCAGTCAGGATTTGGCCCAGGAGTTGACTGAGAGCATGCCCAGCCTTAGAAACATAAGGGCTTGTAATCGTTTCAGTACCTCACAGAAAAAACTGAAACAAAGATCTAAAAGCGGTTTTGCAGCAAACTTTGTGAAAACTAATATTTGTGTCATTCTCAAAACTTTTGGCCACAACTGTAGTCCTGGACTAATTTTCACACACCAGCGTTTCCCCTTGTTCGAAAATAAGCGCTTTCATGGTTTCAAAATGCTGCTTTAAAATTCACGGACATCATGTGTGAAAATCATGGCACATAACAAGCAGAATTAGAAAATAGCATTTTTAGCTCCATTTACTTGCATTCATTTTTTTCTTCTTTTGGGGACCCATGGTCCGGAAGTAGATTAGCGTGACTTAGGCTTCCTATGCTAAATTAATATCTCACATCACTTTGAAATGCGTTATGGATGATCAGATCTGAGGGCATCACTTGTCCTGAGTGTGTTTATCTGTATTTATCTCCATTCACTTCAACCAGGGCACATGTTGGTGTCGAGGCTGAAAGTCAAAGCACTGATTAATGCGAGGTTGTCACTGATTTAGTGGTTTAAAGCTAAAAACTTTAAAGAATACTTGAGTATTTCACAGCAAACTCACATGTTTGCTTTAGGTTGTCTTGTGTGAATCTAGTGGGTTTTCTGTACTAAATATACTGAGATGGTTTTTCAAACCGTAACTGTGTGTGGATTGTTTTTTTTTTTTCTCTTTCAGTCTCTGAAGTCCTGTGGGTACGTCAAGGAGCAATTTGCCTGGCGTCATTTTTATTGGTATCTCACCAATGAGGGAATCCAGTACCTAAGAGACTTCCTTCACCTTCCTCCTGAGATTGTACCCGCCACCCTGCGCCGCCAGACCCGCCCTGAGACAGCCAGACCCAGGCCCAAAGGTAAAACACTTGTGCACAGTTGACACACACAGTAGTCTGTTCTGCGTGTTTCCCTCTGAATGCTGAGATTCTAGCTGTAAAAGAAAGTTATTCAGTCATGTCATGTTTGAATATAATATGAACTGTTTTTTGGGGAGGAGCCTGTAATGATAACATTTACACTTAGTTTCTGACCTATAACTGTTGGTTGGAATTAATTGGCTCATGTGTAGCTCAGGCCAGATGTCTGATGCTGCAAAATGATTAAATATGATTAAGAAAACAAAAACATCTCATTGTGGGGCAGAGAAACAATTACATGTGCTAGAACACCTTTAATGCCTAACTTATCTGACAAATTTGGCTTAAACTTTGTTTAACTGATGAAATCCTTTAAATGAAAGCAAACATGTTTTGTTTTAAGTAACTCATGAAGTTGAGAAAACTAAGATGTTTTTGTCTTGTTTTAATCTGCAGGAATGGAGGGAGAGAGACCTGCCCGCCTGAACCGAGGAGAAGCCGACAGAGACACCTACAGGCGATCTGCTGCACCCCGTAAGCGTCGTTCCAACCTTAACTTTCACAGTGTTAATGGAGTTGTCTGGTCTTTTCCTGTTAAGTTTAATGAGCTGCAAAGAGCCCCTAAATAACCATTCAGTGTACTTATAAAATGGACAAACCCTTCTGAATAGCTGAGCAGTTCCCATCACCGCCATCTTGGCCATGTCTCATCATTCCCACAAAATACAAAAATGGAGCTGAAAGCAGGGCTGTGAGGGTAGGGCTAGATGATTGACAACCTAAGGGGGGGGGGGGGGGGGGGGGGGGGTTGGAAAACAGTAGATGTGAGCAAATTTGCTCGTCAAAAATTCTCACCAGATGTGAACAGAGGAGCAGCGGGCAGCTTACGAAATAAATGAACAATCCGCTTCAGGGTGCTTTGCAGTTGGTGTGATCCTTGGTGTAAGGCAGAAAACTGCGCTTGAGTGCTGCCTTCTAGGCTGTAATACTTAACTTGAGGCCGTCTTTTATTGGTCTTGTTGAAAAGGTGGGACTTATTCTCAATTTTTTTTTTTTTTTATCCTTTAAATGTTTAATTATAGGCCTCTAATGTTTTGGGATTTTAATCAAAGATGTCTGGGAACTACCCAGACACATTTGTTGTTACGTAGTTGACTACACAAGAAAATAATTTCCTAGGCTTCACCAGAAAACGTTTTAAAATGGGTTTAACTAGTAAAATAAATAAAATGTTTTCATCAGCTGGTGCCGACAAGAAAGCAGAGGCTGGTGCCGGAGCTGCCACAGAGTTCCAGTTCGTGAGTACTTTTTCTCTTGCTCCACTAATGCATCGATCGTTTCTAAAGCAGTTCTGTTTTCGTGTTTCTCAGAAACTGAGTTAGTGGTTTCTATTATGTTCAAGCAGCTAAACTTGGTTTTTCTGTTTTCTCTTAGCGAGGTGGCTTCGGACGCGGCAGAGGACAGCAGCCTCAATAAATTTCATTGGTTTATTAATAAAGAAAATAAAACAATGGCTGTGTGATGTTTGATTTAAATATCACTTAGTTTGGTCTAGGTTCATGCTTTGAGTTCTCTGAAATAATTTTAGCTTTCATTAAATATTTTTCTATTATTTCTGCATATGAGCTTTCAAAGATGCCACATTTAGTACAATTATACCAGAAAAAGCATTACAATTGGTTGCATGTAGATGATGCACTGATACCGATCCCGAAAGGTTTTTCAGAACCAGCCTCAGATTTTATTTGGTTTGCCGTCTAACTTGATGGCAAGTCGCCTCATCTTACTATATACTTTAAAATTTGCTGTCAAGATAATTTCATAAATATTTTTTTTCCATGGGACATTGAGGTAAAATGGGAATTTGCATGATTAAAAATAAAATACTTCCTACTATAGATTCATCTGATGTAGAAACCAAGTTAGTTTTGAGAGAACACTTTTTCCTGTCAAACTGGAACAAGTGGTCTTCAGATTGTAGCATTCACACCTGAACAATCACACCTGCTGAGTTACAAACGGGAAACATTAAAACAAATTAAATGTGAAATACTGGTTTATTTGTTGGCACATTTATATTACAATCTTTAGTCTTCTTACACTGGTTTTATTTTATTCCACAATCCCAAATGATGAGAAAATCCAGTGATGCAGAAAAAAAACAGCACACATTTACAGGTCTAACTTCAAGGCTGAGATCCACAGCTAGAAGTGCATGTTTTAAGGGGTTTTCTCATTAAGATGTCAGTATTTGTGGCCATTCATCCAATAAAGGAAACCTTTTCCTCTGGTGTAATACTACTGCTTTGGCCGCAAGGTGGGGCCAGCTGGCTGACATGACTAAACCATTAGGTAATACACTTTGGAGTTTCAGATTAAATTTACTAATAAAAAATAAATAAATACCTTTCTCCAACTAAGAAGCTTTAATCAAGACCATCTTTTTCGGAAGAAACCAAACCCACTATGAAATGTTTTTAGGACCATTTTCTTATTCCACTAAAAAGTTTCAAACTGGGAAAGACTCCGCCAGTTTGTGTTAATCTGATCTGTATCACAGAGACAGGGCTGCCATAAAGAAAAAAACATTGGGTCATCATCAGTGTCAACAAACCAAAACAGTCCTTTTCTCCATCATTTCATCCACTTATTGGGATTTTCTGAGGGTTTCTCACCATTAGAAATAAAAATACTAGTTTCTGCACATGCCGATAGTAAATTGTTTTCTATATATGAAAAATGTATTTTACTTAGTAAAACGTTTAGATTTTAACCGTCATGGTTGTAGGAAGTCCGGAAAAAGACAAATCAAGGGGGATAAGTCTTCCACATGAAATAATATGATGGTATTAAAATATGGAATCCATGATTCCTTGTTAAAATACCTTTCAGGTGGCTTTTAGAAGACCAATCTCAGAGTCATGCAGTCAGCCGGGGAGCACATTGGGGATTCTAAAAATAGTCAAACTATTCAAAGAGGGCACAACGAAGAATGCGAATAATCAAATGTTTTGGTTACAACAAACAAAGCTAAATGCGTTTCTCAATTTGTCTTCAGATGAGACTAACGAGACAAACCCTTCAAATCAAAATCCTCTGACTGAATGGTGAAAACTAGACTTTATTTCGGAAACTTTGCTGTTTTACCAGAGAAAATGAGGAATCTCTGGCAGCTATTAATTTGTCTTGGCCTTCAAAAACCTCACCCACGACCTCATCCCTTATTCTTTAGCCTCAGATGTTTTTGTATTCCACCTTAAGAGAAAATTCCCCAACAGCTCCAAAGCCAACAAAAGAAGTAAATCGGTTTTCCAGCCTCGGCTGAATTAACATGTTGCACTCACAGATGTGTAAGAGGTGTTTTGTCATTTGTACTCTCGCCTTTGATCTATACAGAAATAAACAATTTACAATAAAAACCTCTTACATGCTATCTACAGCGCCTCCAGTTTCACAGTATTAAGCCAGCTGCCTCACGGCTTACCGAGGCGGCGTGACGCAGCTCAGCTAGAGACTCGCCAGACGTCAAGAGAAAGGAAAACATTAGTATCCAAAAGCAATTTACACGTTAAAGATGAGGTCTCAAAACTGTACAAGGCTTGTTTGTTCTGCATCGTGTCAAAGACAGCCTTACAGATCCTTTACTTTCAATGTCAAGCACATGTTCTGTGTTTCTGGGGGAGGCAGATGAAATACTACAGAAGAAAAAAAAAATCACAAACACAATAAAAAAACGCCCGCAAGTCATCTGTGCTGTGAGGATCACAATGTAAACAACTGTTTTCAACCAAACTGAATGTGAGGAGTTAATTTATGGACTTGGGTTTCAATAACTTAAGAGATATGTGCTGCTTTTTAGGAGTCCATGATTCTTAAATCTCCTTCACTCTCAGCGTGTGGAGGAAGACTTCGTAGTCGCAAGAACACATCCCCCACCCCCCAAAAAAAGGATTGTTAGGAGGTAAAAACGCGCTGGCAACGCATAGATGTTGACATTCTTCACTCTGAACATTACACAGTATATGCTCGGATCAAGAGTGGAACCTGTAGTGCTTCGCTAGCTTCCCAGGTAAAGAGAAATGTAGCTGAAACTCAAAAGTACTCAGGGGGGTGGGGGGTGTAAAATACCTCGCCACTAGTCTGTTGCACAGTCAGCATCAGATCACTTGAGTGAGACAATACAACACAACGGTGCTCATGCAAGACACTTCCCACAAATCTGCTCGTCCACATACAGATAACACTTTCTATCCTCGGGGGTGGGTTACGATAACGACCACGTCCATTCTCAGATAATAACCCAAAAAATGGCAAAGACGTTTAAAAAGACCATCAAAAGCCTTCAGCTTAAGCACTATGTATACACATTTACATTACAACAGTAAAAAGTAATTCTTGCATTCAATCAACACCGCACTAAGGGTGCATAAAGAACTGGAAATTATGGGATACTTCATGCAGTTTGTCAGTAAAAAGAACATAAAAGAGGGATTAAATATGACATTTACAAAGTGTTTCAGGCTATTCATCCAACACCTCTGTAGATCTGTGCCACAGTTCTGGCACAAAGGAATTGGCAAGGCAAATCCATGTTATAGAGTGGAAAAAAAAGACAGAGAAAGGAAGAGGAAAAGGAGAAGTGATACAATTAAGAGCGCAAGTGGTTGCAAAAGCTCCGGGGGGGTGGGGGGGGGGGGCTTCAGAGTTGTGGTTTTAGTTATCTGATTCCTGAGACAGAGCTCTGATTGATGCTGTAGGTGGGGGAGAGTTCCCCACCTATCGTGGTCACCAGTGGTGTTCCGTTACTGGTCAGGCAGCTCTCCTGGAGAGCCCCGAAGTAGGTGGCCTGCACAGGCTTGTGACTCATCAACACTCGCTTGGCATCATCTATTTTAAACCATTCCCTTTTTCTCCCTGTGGACAAAACAAAAACAGCCATTGTACAGATGGTTCACTCACAGAAAAACAACAAAATGAAAACTAGGTCTGGATTAGTTCTGAGAGCTTTACTCAGAGCCCATGGAAAAATCACAAGGGCAGGAACAAAAATCCTTCAAATGTATAAACAAAGCCACAGCCGAGCATGTGACTTATAGGGAACGATCATGTGAGCTCCATTTTAATATGTAAACAGTTGTTTGTTTTTACCAATCTTGTCTGAGTCCTCCCACTTTTCCAGCACCTCCGTTACAATAAGAACATACACGTAGGTTCTGTGCTTCCTCTCCTTGTTCTGTAGAAGGCATGCAATGTTATATTTTTACTCCTCAGTCACAACCGAGCAAGAAGATTGGTGACACAAATGCCAATATAAAAAAGCTTACCTCAAATATTCCAATTAATCGACCTAAAGTCCCCTTCACGCCGGCCTGTAGGGTGAACAAAGTGTTACAGTAATCCCAAAATAATAAAAACGTTCTCTGAAAATAAGAAAACACAAAAAGGCTACCATAATACAGTTTAATAAACAAACTGTGGTACTTTTATCTTTCAACTTCAGGGTGTTTTGCAGAGATAGAGTTGGAGTCGCTGATGTGATTTGTATGGTAATCCAGAACCTAGTGTCTGTGCTGCAGTAGACAGTTTTGTTTAGCTAATAAACACATAAGGGCCATGATTTACTTGCTGTCTGACAATGCGAACGTGTTTAAAATGGCTGCCACACGTTACTTGCGTTGATTTGCGGTGTCCCCCAAAATTAACATGATGCGTTCAAACGCAGTAGGTGACGTTGACAAGACGAGTGAGACACACTTACCATGGTGACCCCATCTCTGGTTTAGAGGTCTTTCATATCATATTTTTCAGACCTGAATGTTTTCTGTCTATTTCCCATTTTGCAGCTAATGCAGCCGATGGGGGATAAAGAACGTTTTAATGTGCAGCATGCATATGCAACTCCAAGTGAACGATCGTATTTGAGAAAGAACAAGTATTTCATGGTCTCTAAGTGAACAAGGTCTTTGAAATGTAAACAAGTGACTTGCCATTTTTGATAACACTTTTATGAAATAAATCTAATTTAAAAAAGCAACGACAGCTTCTAGAGTCTGAAAGGTTAGTTTAATAAAGCATTGTTACCAAGCAACTAAAAAAGGATCGGATTTGTTTTGTTTTCCTTTAAAGGAACTTCATTAATTAACAACTAATGTAAACCGTCGACTGGTCGTTTTCTGCTGACAGCTGTCTGAGTGTTGTAGTTGAGGATTATGCCACAGAAAATTCATGAAAGGCCATTGTTCAGCTGCCCCTTTCACACAGACATCTCATCTCACAAAATCCTTCAACTGTCGTGTAAGACCGTGAAAAAAGGTCCGAATCAACAGACCAAATCTTCACTGTCAGTTATGGTGACTTCACTCACAAACCTGAAACTTGCCTCCAGTGAGGACTACTTTAAGACAAGACTCCTTAGTGCTCTTTACACTTAATTGTATTTTAAGACCAGTAACTATCCTCAAACTCCAGGTGAATAGTTGGTGAGGTTTAAATAGAGAGCAAGGCCATAGCTAACATGTTTTTAACTTCTTCAGGTTCCAGTTTCAGTCTATAAATAAACACTGGCTACACACACTGCAGTATGGGATCAGGGTTGCCTTCCTCAAGTCTTCTGATAGATCATATAAAAATGAACACTTACTACTACAGACTCACAGGCAGCCATGCCAGGAATTAAGTAATAGGTCAAAGGTCAGCCTGGATGACCTAATGAGATGGAAAAAGCCTTGTGTAACTGAAAACAGCAACGCATCATCCCAGAGGATAACACTGAAAGTGCCTTGTAGTAATGCAATGCTGTCCTGTGTCTTCCTGCTGCAGAGTTGGGGCCCATCATTGACACTAGAATAAGGTCAGGTGGTGGATAAAAGGATAAAGACATGCTGTGCAACATCTGGCCTAATCACTCCCTCGGTGGAAGTGTACACTCATAAGCATAATAGATGCTTCACCGCTCATTTGGTCATCACAATACGCTCCTCGCCAGGGTTAGAATACGCCCTATTACACAACCGTCCAATAAGATGACTAGGAAGCAAGAGTATGTGGTGTATAGAACACCCCACTTAAACTCATCACTACATTTCTGAATGCAGGTGTTTAGTACTTTAACAAACCTCGGTAGAGAAACATGTGACACTACTTTTGATCCTGTGGAAATGTGTCGGCAAGCTCAGATGTCCCGCACTCAAAGAAGTCACGATAACGGATTATATCAGCATCAATCAGTGCAATGGAACACACACACACACACACACACACACACACACACACACACACACACACACACACACACACACACACACACACACACACACACACACACACACACACACACACACACACACACACACACACACACACACACACACACACACACACACACACACACACACACACACACACACACACACACACACACACTAGAGCTTATATAGTCAGGAGCCTACTATGAGAAAACTGCTACGCAAAGCAAAAATCAGTACCTGCACTATTAATGTCGTTTTCAAATCCAAATGCTCACAAAGTAAATGGAACGAACAGCTGAGACCCATCCACTGTGTTGGAGGCATTAGCAAGAGCAAGCCTCACAACTCATTTCTATGATATAACCAAAAATTCTATGTTCTGATGGGCGCTGTTGTAAAAAGAAGAAATTTTAGGAAAGAGATTATTCTTCATATCAGGAGTTTGTGTGACTGCTAATGTTGTGCAACCACTGAGCTGCTAGGATTTAATCTCAGTGATCCCTTTGACACCTTATCCAGTGTACACGTTGCTAAGCTTGCAAACAAAGAGAGTGTAGACCAAAAAAAAAAAACTCTTGAGAATACTATAACAAAATGTCCTCACTGCAAATGAAAAGTGTTCTCCAGATATTCCTGGCTTTGGGAAAACATAAATGGGGAATGTTTTACATAAAAGTTTATGACAAAAAGGTACAAAAAACTCTCCCAGCTAAGTTCACACGAGGATATTCTCATGACATCATCTGTGGGTCAGAAATCATGTATGCAGATGGAGCCAGACACAACCAGTGTTTTCGTTAATGAAAACGATGACGAACAGATTTTGTTGACGCCCCCCCCCCCCCCCCCCATACGCTGATGACCTAAAAATAGCTCTTTGGTGACTAAAACATGAGGAGATGAATGGGAGTTTTTGTTAACAAGCCGAAACTAGAAGAAAAGTCTGCTCAAAATGCAAATTTTCACCTGTCTTACAAAAGTTAAAAAGTAACCACGCTGCTGCTCTGTGTCCCAGCAGAAGAGTATTCTGCTCAGCAGACCATCCTGAGCAGCTGAATGGAGCTGGCTCCCACCCACATCAGAAATCCTGCACAATAGCACTAATTCCTCCATTTGCATGGATTTCTGATGTGGGTTGGAAGCCAACTTCAGCTTGGCTCAGCGGCTCCCTGCCGTGGGAACGTGCAGCGCTCAGCCCCTCATTGATGCTACTAGGAGCGACGACTTTTAAATTAATCCGCTTCCTGAAAAAGTCATGCTTTTGAGCAGATAAATGAAAGAAATGACAGTTTTTAACATGTTTTATCTGAACATGTTTAAGACGAATGTTTTAAAGTCAGTGTCAGGATTATAGTGTCTGCTCCCTGGTTCCTAATAACGGGCCACAGTCCTGCTTTTTAACCCAACAGCATAACAGTTTAAGCCCATTTAAATGTCTGAGTATCTCTGCTGATGAGTAGAACTGGGATATTTATATTAATTCTGTAGGCTCGTGAAAACTCACAACACTGCAGCTCCATGGAAAAACATGACTGTATTTAAGTAGGTGGACTTTGCCAAAATATAAATTTAAAGACACTAAGATGGAGGTCTGATAACTGAAATATTAAATAAATAAATAAACAAATTTCTTTATTTCTATTTAAATATTGTGCATAATACTCTGTATTCCCCCTGAAAGTCCATTCTGTTAAGGAAAGAAAATCATACATTTGTTTTATGAAAATCTACAGAATGATGCACAGATCTGCATCAATACATTATATACAATATAGTGATTATCAATAAAGTAAAGAATAAAAAAAAAGATATGTGTCTGGGGATAATTGTTTTACAAAATCTGTAAAATCCAGAGCCATAAAATAAACAATAACTCACTCCAGTAGCTCAGAGTACATGTCTGACCTATAAATTAATTTGTTAGAGAATAACACTTTGTTTAACATTTTGGAAAATTAAAAACAAAAATCTTTAGGTGTTTCTCAATGCCAAGGAACCTTGCCTTGATGTCTTGGCCCCGCCCTGGTTGCCTAGGTGATACGTCATCGGGAGCCGCCAAGACGTGTTCCAATCGGTTCCTATGTTCATGTTCTACCGAGGTATGTGTTCTCCGTTTGTTAGCCGTTTAGCTAGCTGAGCAAGGATACATGGGAGGTGCTTTGTGCCTAGCCTTGGTCAAAAATTACCCACAATACACCGCGGTATTTTCAAAAAGACGGCGGATCAGAAGTCGGAAGCTACTTCAGGGACAATTTTCAAGTTTAAAAGTAAGTCAATTAATTTAAAATGCTTTTTTTAGATCCAAAGAAGTTATCTATTGTTGGTTAGTTGCGGCTTCGGTGGCTAGCGGGTAATAACTCGTTTATATTTTTAATTTAATAAACATACACAATTTAAAAAGTAAAAGGCTCGTTATATATTTACATTGAAAGTAATACATATAAAATATGTTATCTCCCATGCCACGTGACGTTACGTGACCGCCGTGGAAGCCGCGGTCACGTGATGCAAGTCTGTTCCATTTAACCATTTTCTTTGACCAAGGAAGGACAGTGTCCTTGTAAGCAAGGCGCCTTGACATTGAGAAACACCCTTTGTCAACTAAAACCTTTTTAAGATGTAGTCGACTAAAACCAAGACTAAAATGCATTTTCGTCATCAAGACTAAGACTAAAACTAAGATGCACGCCAAAAACAACACTGGATAGAACACACCAGAACAAACCTCTTCGCACACTTCTCGAGCTGCAGCAACACTGGGCTCCTCTTCGGGCTCCATTCCTCCTCCAGGAACTATCCACTTGCCGGTATGTCGGCTACTGCTCACCAACAGCACCTATCCCATACAGCACAGATTAAATATAACAGATATTTTGCTTGTTGTTTCGTCACATAGAACATACAACTTGACAAAACTAGTCTAAACTAATCAAATAAAGCAACATTGAGGGCAGCAGTGGCTCTGGAGGTTGAGTGGGTTGACCAGTAACCAGAAAGCTGCAGGTTCGATCCTGGCTCCGGACAGAGAATTCTGCTGTTGTGTCCTTGGGCAAGACGCTTAACCCACCTTGCCCGCTGGTGATGGTCGGAGGGACCGGTGGCGCCTGTGCTCGGCAGCCTCGCCTCTGTCAGCTGTGGCTACATCGTAGCTCATCATCACCAGTGTGTGAATGTGTGTGTGACTGGATGAATGATGCACTGTAGTGTAAAGCGCTTTGGAGTCCTTCCTCTGAGAGGCGCTATTCAAGTGTGGGCCATTAATCAATTATCACATGCCTTTGTCACAACAGTGATAAGTTGCTGGATGAACTTGCATGATCAATTACCCAAGCACTGGCTTTAGTTTGTTTTGTTTCCTGTACGGGTATAAGAAGTTAAAGGTTAAAGAATTTCACTGGAAACACCTCATCTGTGCGACACTGATGCACTTCCTGTAAACAACACATTTTATTCACAATCTATCTTCTATTATCTAGGACGAGTCTCTTATTTAGTTCTAATTTTGTTTGTAATGCATTTTCTTTTATTACAAACACATTTGTTCTTGCTTAGGAACGGGCAGTCAGTTTTCCAAAAAAATTAACAAACCTTAGTTAAAGCGGATTTTTATTCTATCATTCAGTTGACGCTACTACTACAATGTTATAAAGTTTACGACCTAAATTATTTCCTATGTATGTTAAGTGGCTCGCCACAAACGGAGCGACCTGTTAGTTTAAACTATTCCAGCTACACAATTCAATGGGGTAAAATATCTGTTTCATTGCACTAGGCGTTATTTAACATGCCACGATAAACCAGACTAAATACACACATTTTCTTAATTGTCTTAAAAACAAAATCGTCATTTTGTACATGTCTTACAAGTCAGCCAGCAGAGCCAATTCAGTAGGCTGTGGTTGCTGGCTGACAGCCGGCTGCCCGGAGCAACAACCTGGCTAGTTAGCATTAGCACGCAGCTAACGGTCCAATAATGCAAAACACATAGGCTTCCATTTGTACAGCTAAAGGGGCTTACATAACACTTAGATAAGTATGGGCAAAAACTAATTTAAATACACATACGTGGTGAACTACATATGAACCGGGAATAAGAGTTAAAAATCATTACAATCACAGCTATGTTCATTAATGTACTGATTTACAGACGGTAAGTACCTACGGCCGGCTAACCTTAGCATGGCCTAGCAGACAGCTACATCACCGGACTCACCTCCTCTTCAGATTCGCTCCTGAAGCACAGACAGGCGGCCCGCTTCTTGTAGCCGTCCCCATCGTACGTCCGGGTTTGGTTGGACTTGAGCTTAATCATTTCGCAAGCGCAAAAGTTTAAAAGTACAGCTAAGTTTACCGCGTATATAGATGATGGTTACAGACCAAAAGCCCTCTTCAAGGGAACCTCAGCGTTTGACTCAAAAGAAATAAGTTCTTCTTCGCTTCATTTTCACAAACCTAGGCACATCTACGGTACGGTCGCCATCACGAGGAGCCGTTACGTCCACGACGTAATTGAGCCTTTAATAGTTAGAACAGCGTAATGATGTTGCGTAACCAGCGCTTAAGAATCGGAGACTGTGAGGAAAGGAGGAAACGCAACACCACGCACTGAGCCGGTGAAGGAAACTAGCGGTTTTGCCTCCAGACTCAAACTAACCTGATAAGCCCACTTGTTTGAGGCAGCAGTGATTTTGCTTTATTTTTATGAGAATTATAATCTAACCTTACATAAATGCTTTAAACTTAAACACTCAATTTAGATTATATTTCTCATTCAACATTTTAACAGTTGATTGATTAAAAAATGGCCACATTTGTAATTTAGTATGGCACAAATAGAACACAGTTTTAAGTTTATATTTCCCTAATTGTGGTTTATAGTTTTCTTCATAACACCTTCTGGCCTCAAACATAATGTACACTACAGACAAATCAAACTACATTAAAATAATGCAGCCCCAAGGCCTACACTGTTTTTTTTTTTAATAAATAATTGAAACATACAACTGTCAGTCTTGGTCTCTTGGACAAAATTTCAATCCCTGAACACTACATTTAAATGATTAAAATCCATTTAAGGAGAAGTAATTCGAGGGAAACTTCTACAGCATGAGGATGTTAACATCATAATATTTTTAAGGGAGAAGGTAAAAAAAAAGTTGATATCAAATATTTTATCTATCAGGGATTCCCTAAGTGTGGTGCCAGGGTGCGCGAGCTGCCGCTAGGGGGTGCGCGAGGTGAAAAGTGTAATGGCTGCGGAGCTCAGAGAAGTCTGTCAAATGTCATCATTAGCGTAGCCAGAAACTCATTTGTGGGTGGGCTTAAGAAAAAGTAAGTGGGCCCAATAAATGCAATTGAAAACAAGTATATTTTGCGTGTGTGTGTGTGTGTGTGTGTGTGTGTGTGAGTGTGTCCTCCGCATGCGCCCTAGCTTCATAATAATAATGCGCCGAGCATCGGCACTCTGGCCTGCGCACGCCGTTAATAGCAAGATATGTTCCGTATTTGATCATTTTTCATGGTGTTGGAGAAATCTGAAGGTGGTGAGTCATTCTGGCAGATTGTAATTAACACCCTGTCTCATGCAGGTGTTCTGACATTGTAAACCTCACACACAGAACATTGTGAATGTAACTAAATAAATCAAGAAATGATTCCCATCTGAGCATTTTAGCATTATTATATTAGCACACTGACTGTGGGACAGCATTCTAAACGTGCCAGGCTATTAACCATAGGCGTCATTTTAACCGGGGACGCCGGGGACATGTCCCCGGCAAAATTTGTGATTGGCAGCTGTGTCCCCCCCACTTTCAAAAAAGCCTGCTGATGAGGATTTTTGTTTTACCAGCTCAGATCTTATACCAGGGGTCGGCAACCTGTTCCCATCAAAGAGCCATTATTACCCGTTTCCCACAGTAAAGAAAACACTGGGAGCCACAGCAGCGCAGCGTTGTGGGCGGGGCCTACCCTCAGACAGCAGAGAGCTGCTCACAACCAGGTGACAGCAGCCGGTACCATGGGCGTCGCACCCGTGGGGGATTCAACACCCACACTTTTCCAGCTGTTTTGCTCACCTCCACACCAGTCTGGTTTCTTTACGTCACACTCACTCTGTTTGCCTCATCTCCTTCTTCACCTCCGCTTCTGACAGCCGATGTCGGGTTTCCAGGAGAGCAGGAGAGGGAGGGACGGAAGAGCTCGACTGAATTCATAATTTTACATCTTGACATTAGCTGTACAAAGTCTGAGTTTGATCAAGTGAAGAACAATAATTTGCAGAGGTTTATAACTGGCGCAGCGCCAGGTTTTCATTTTTGGGTGGGCCACGGTAATTTTGGACGGACCTTAATAAGCAGTGACTTAAGTGAAGCAGGCAGGTCGCGCTAGAAAATTTCGTTTAAAAAGACGTCATAAATGTTTTCCCGTCATTTTTATTTATAAAATATGAAGTAAAAACTCACAATTTAATTTTCATTCATTTGTCATTAATTAGTCTACACCCGTGCGTTAAGTGGACCATCTTCCAGTAAAAGAAAAGCATCCGGCCCACCTCTCCAAATGCGTAAAATGTGCATCACAGCCACTAGGCGCACCGCGCGCACTGTCAGCTGATCAGCCCAGACAAGAGCAGAGCAACTAGAGAAAGAATAGAGGATAATTGTGTCTGGATGTGGATGGAGATTACATTTTACAGCAGCCTGATCATCATTTAAATACGTAAACCATCACCTGTCTTCTAGTCCACGCTATCAGCATTATTTTAATTGTTGTGTGTGTGTGTGTGTGTGTGTGTGTGTGTGTGTGTGTGTGTGTGTGTGTGTTCCACTTCAAACACTGGTCTAACCAACCAGACCAGCGTGTCCAGTAACACATTAATGTTACAATTAAACAGTTTCACTTCATGTAGGCTAGGAACGTTTCACCTGCCGTAGCCCGACCGCTTCTGCTCCACATAAACTTTGTGCGTGATCAAATGTCTCTACAGGAGCTTTCTGAGCTGAAGAGGCGACTGGATGCGTCATGCGTCTCCATATTAGAGACGGGAACAAGCGCTGTTCAGCCAAACTTTCATAATTTCATAAAAATAACATTTTTCCAAGTGACACATCCCTCAGAGAGACCGGGTTTCCAGACCGCTTCAGTGGGAGGAAATCAACCAACATCCTTGAGTTTATCCGTCAAAATAAACAGTCAAATGGAAATATCTGTAACCTTCCATTTAACTGTTTTGCCTTCTTGTGAAGATTGTTGCAAAGAGAAACAATTAAACCTGATTAACCCCAGAGCCATGCGCACTGCGCTGTAGTCCGTGACTGTAAATGAGGGGAAACGATTTAATCGGATCCTTTTTTTTTCAACATGGTTTAATGTAAAGTTTCATTCAGTACAAACTTTAGTTACACCGATCTAACGAGACAGAGCCTGGATTTGTATTCTGAACAGTTTAAACATGTTTAAAACGGAGACATGCGTGAAGCGTCTAAAATTCGCACCTGCTCCGCTATTATGGAAATTAAACTAACAAGATGAATAACATGAAATTATTTTAAGCACAGACAACATCCCCAACACTTTTGAAAAGCTTGCAACGCGCCTGGTCGCTCGTGTACGTCAAAGTTATCTTTCATAAAAAGATAATCAATAAAACGATTAAATAAAGTGGATCCAGAAGCTGTAGCCCGTCTCTGCCTTCAATATTCACCCTGTTGGTGGTTTTACTGAGCAGGTGCCACTTTTGTCATACGTTTCTTTTTAAAACATGTTTAGGCTGTTCAGAATACAAATCCAGGCTCTGTCACGTTTGATTGTTGTAATTAAAATTTGTAGGTGGGGGAGGTCAGAAATCAGCTCAGAAGCGCATGATTACGCACAAGCGTGACGCGTCAACCCGGTCTCACAGACCGGGTTGGACCTGTTCAGGTTTACGCAGACAATCTTTACATTTAGAATTGGCATACAGATGTAAAATTAATGCAGTAAAATATAAAGCATTTTATTTAAATATCCAGTCATTATTTTACAAGCACAGAGAGCCGCATGCGGCTCCAGAGCCGCGGGTTGCCGACCCCTGTGCTAGCCTACTTTATTGTCCCCAGCAATTTTTAAGCCCCACTCAAGTGTATGGCTATTGTCCCCAGCAATTCTGAAAACAAACTGACGCCCTTGCTATTAACAGCGCGCTGAAGATCTGAAGTTCAGAGTTAGACGCGTTCCAGCGAAGCCACGGCTCACATGTGAGCACTTCTGGGCTGGGCAGAAGTTATTTTACAACATTGGTTTAAATAGTGCCAATAACGAGACACGGTGAGCGGCTCATGGAGCTGTGCCGCCAACACATTCTCACTCCCAGCATGTCAAAAACAAACGCTTGGTCAGCCACCCTCCACATCAGTCAGACCCCTGACGCCAAAAGTGCCCTTTTTTGTTACTGTGAGGGATCAAGCCAAATGAGTGGAGGAACACAGACAATTTCCAAACATAGACTCTTTAATTTCCTTTTTGTTTTAAAATGTCCTCACAAAAACAGCTAGAGCTCATAAAAGAGGTCAAACAAACAAACTGAAACTCAATAAACTTCTAACTTAACATACTGACTGACTGAAACCATAACTGACCTTTCAAACAAAGACACACAAGGGTATATATACACACTGGCTGATCAGACCATATGAACAATAGGGATTACTAGACAAACATTTACCAACTAAAACTAAAACCACAAATCAGTACAGTCAGATTGTTAATAAACCTAAACACCCTAACCCATAAACCTAACTATTTAACTTCAAACTTAAATTAATTAACAAATGACAAAATAATAAACTAAAGGAAATTCTTCAGTACCCTCTTCAGGGAGCTATTGGTTTGGCCCCATCAGCTCCTCCTGTATTTAGCTGACAGAACCCCTTCAACCCTGTTTGCCTGTCCCATCTCAGGAAGCAGGAAGTGGAGAACCTCTCAGCACCGGTAAGAGAAAACAAATCAACTTAAATTGAACAAATGAAAGGCATAAAATACAGCAGTTAACTAAATGTGCGCGCTTAAAATTAGAACTAATGCATTTAAGCCATCTAAACAATAAATCCCAAGAAATATAAACATACAAACTGCAATCATAAAAGTGCAAGAGTGTACTAACGTTCACCGTTGTGTGGACATGGATGCGGCCATCACAGTTACTTATGTGCGAAAAGGGGTTTTTCCCTTATTTGACTGCAGATCCCAATGCAGCGTAAAACTGACGCGATGGGATGTCCGCTCCCGTTGCATCCCAATGTAGCGTTACACTGACGCGATGGGATGTCCGCGGCCAGGGCACCAAACAAGCTCAATGTACCTCACCTTAACCTTATCCTCTTATTTAACCTTCCTCTCACCCCTATCCTAACCTTAACCATCTTGCTAGCGAACACGTTAGTGATGTGTCGATCGCTCTATGAAGTGAACAGCGGGAGCCGCCTCGTCATTGGTCGAGTTTGGGCCGAGCCAACGCGAGGGGGAGGTTTCAACTACCACGGTGGAGGT